GTTGCAATGGTGGAAAACATGGCACGGTTTTTTATTGTGTTCTGTAAATCTGGTTTTCAATTTTCTTCCTGTTTCTCCGATGACAAAAGCTTGTCGAAACGTTGTATGTTTGCTGTTATGTTAAACTTATATTAAAGTTTTTCTTCATTACCCATTCAAGCCATCTCCAAGCATTATTAGTCTCAAAGTGAGTTCCTCATCATCGAATTTCAAGTTAAAATTAGCTTAATTAATTGATTTGTATTGACACTGTGTTCACTCCCCACTGAAATGTAGAAAAAAATGCTTTAATTAAAAAAAACCTGGAATATTGCTTTCAAGCCTCTGTTCTGATGGTGTGACATTGGCTGCATAATTCAGCTTTTACAATATGCATTGTTATTGTTTAATAAACAAATTCTAATGCTGCCAATTTTATTTTTGATGTAATAGTATATTAGGTTTTTGGGGGCTGTAATAATTCTGTTACAGTATTTTTTTAAGGAGAAAGAGATTTTTTTTCAATTTATTGCTATGAATATTTTTGAAGTGGTAAAAAACTGTTACAAAAAGCATTTTGAAAAAGAAAACTTAAGAAGACTATTAAGTAAATTGAACATTATAAATTATCAATATTGATTGATATAATATTAATTATTATTATCCTTTTACTCTAATTCAAAAGGTAATTAGATTTTATTATTCTACAAAATAATCCCATTGATATTATTTACAAGAATTAAAATTGTACAATCAAGGTATCACTAAAATCTTGTACTTCAATTACATTGTATGACTTGCCTTTCAGACTGCTCATTTATAAAAACAATACAATGTCTGAGACTTATATTAATTGCTTCTAAGTGGTAGACACTGTATGTTATCAATATCATAAAATTAAATTGTTCACAACAGTCAATTAAATTTTATTATTGGAGTTTCATAATCTTTAGATTTATTTTAGTTTGATTAGCAATATCTACCTATACATAGTAGGAATAAGTGTAATTTCATCTCTGTAGCTAAGTATATATGAATGTGAAAAAGAAAAATATTTTCAGGAGAATCAGCATAAAGAAAATTTTGTCCAAAGATAGTTTTCATTAGTTTGTTTTCTTATTGTATAATTTGAAATTTAAAGTTTAAACAGAATATTAGTACCAATATAATTATTCAAGTAAAATATGGTTTAGATTGTGGTTTTTACTTTTCTTTTATGATTCAGAAAGAAATGATTGATTTAAGTTATTAAAAATTCTGTGTTTGTTTCTTCTTTTAGTTAGATGTAATAGTTGTGGACCTAGACGGTGGTTCAATTACTTTGCCTGAATGTATTTCAGTTCCAACATTACCAGAACCTCTTAATTCTCAACTGTATACACAGCTATGTATGGTAGGTATTTTAAAATTATGTTGAACATTTATTGCAATATTTAAAATAACTATTATAAAGGATAATATCACATAGTATAGAGAGATGATCATAATAAAGTGATATTTATGGAGTGAGGAAAGCAGTGACAATAGAATATTAGTTGTGATGTGATGAGTTCTTTAATGGACCAACACATATGATGTAGTGATAATTTGTGTTTCTGATATTTGGACAGAAATTATAATTGTCATTTCATCAGATTATTTAGCAAAAATCCTAATTTGATCAGAACTATGTCCACAGATATTACACAAAGCATGCATATATACAGATAGTGTTTCAGAATAAGCTAAAAACTGAAATATAAATAAAAAACATGAACACAAAACTCTGATAGCATGATAATAAAATTTGTTCTAGCCATCATTCCTTACACCAAAAAATGAACTTTTTGCAAAAAGTAAAATAGTTTTCCCTATTTTTTTTCTTAGAATCATTTGTAGTGTGTTAATAATAAGTATAAATTCATGTAGTAAAATTATTCTTGTTTCAAAGTATTGCATTCTCTTAACTCTTTCTTTTCTTTATAATTAAAGTATAAATTTGAAGAAATGTACTTCATTAACCTCTTCTAACCTAATGTCCTATTGAAAGTCTATTTTTAAGTTCACTTTGACCATGTATCAAGCCAGTCATGGATTGTTTATACTTGCATTTACTTGACTGCTAAAATTTACAAAGTTGTGAGATTTTCTTCAGAACAGGTTAAAGGTTTGTTTTATTCATTCGTTTCTGCAAACACAACCATATTTCTCTGTTAACAGTTTCAAAATTAAAACCATTTATTATAGATAAATAGATCTCTTGATTCAGTAAAATATATTATTATTTTTCTTTTATAAATCAACTAGAAAAATCTTATACCTATTTTCCATGTTTTATGAGTAACATTAATACTTTTGACAGAGGTAATAAAACAAAATTGAGAAGAACAGAATATGATATGGTTATATTATTTTGATATCTGTATTGTTTTTATAATTTAAGTTATGTCAAGAAACGTTTAATAGAAATATTTGTTCATCATCAAAAACAATAATGTACAAGTATCTCAAATTTGTGCAAGAAGGTGCATAGAGATGCAGAAAAATTTTGTAATATAGTTTAGCAAATTACACATATGGAGTTGATGTTAACCTGCTCTTAAGTTGTTGTTTTATTGTACAATGTTGTTTTCAGGTTATGCGACCAGAATTGCTAACAGCAGATGATGCTTTTCCTCCCCAACAACAGAAAGTTTCACCACCAAATGTACTGGTGAGTGACTAGAAGTAATGAGGTGAAGATGAGCTGTAAAACTAGAAATCTGCTTCTGCTGTAGTGTGAATAAAATTTCAAATTTGAATCGAAATTCTAGTCATCACTTTTTGCTAGAAAAATAAGAAAAATTATAACTGTTTATCAAATTATGTGATTATCATTAATTTAAGAAAATGGGAATTTTTTGTTTTTGAAATTATTGAATTGTAAAGTACTAATAGCAAGGTACTACAGTTTACAGCTATTTCAACTTCTGTTAGTGCTACTATTGAAGGTTTATGGTAAGGAGTCCCTCTCAGTGGGAATCTGTGTAACTGTTAGTGGGAAGTTTGAATCGTGTATAATTTATTTTACTTTGTTATTTCAAAAGAGTGTTTAAGATTATCCAAGTAGATGTAAAAGTTTTAACATTCATGTAGTATTTAACCTATTGTCTGTAAATGGAATAAGAAAGATATTATTAAAACTCTTTCACTATGGGCTCAGTCCCAGGGACCATCCTCAGAACCATTTTGTGCTTGTTATAGTTATCATGCTGTAACTTTTAATACAGTAAGTATATCTTCACGAAATTTTGCAGGTTATCAGTAAACATTACAAGGCTTTCATACACAAGATATCAAATTTTTTATTAAGTTTGTAACGTTTATAAAGCAATGTTTTTCTCATGTCTGTTTTTTTCTCTTTGTATGTCACCTATCTATTATACAAAGTAATATTCATTTTAAGATTAAAAATACTTTTATGCACCAGAAAATTTTCAAATTTTACATATGAAATCTTTATAATCTTCAGATAATTATCAAACGTTTTTTTAGCAAAAACTTTATATTTTATCTATTATTTTCACTATTGTATTTCTGTACAGGTTTGGTTGATTTGACCAATCTCATAACCACCATAAAAAAATTAGTAAATAGATATAACTTATGCTTTTGTCGTTCTAGCATGACTACATATTATTAAATGAAAACACAAGTGTTTATTCTAAATAGCTTGAATCTCATAACATTATATATATCCAGTGGTGGGATTCAGCTGGTTCGCACTAGTTCATGCGAACCTGCTCTTAGAATTTAATGACCTCCACGAACCGGTTGTTAACAATCGTATGTATAGGCCTAATAATAACGTTACAACATACAAGTACGCGTGTTTACAATGCAACTTTACTAGCAGGCTAGATGAATCATTTGCCAACAGGTAAGTGTTTTTTATACAGATTCTTATGATCTTATCTAAATTATTATTATTAGATCTAACTTAGTTATATCATCTACTATAAGCCAAGTGTCCTAGGCCTACGTGTGAGTGCAAATCTGTGCTGAATTATTAGCCAGCGGGTGAACGCTTTTTCTATATGTATATAGATGATCTAACCGCTCTAGGCTTCTAGATCTATATAATTAATATACCTTATACAGCTATGAAAATTGAAAAATATTTTCTAATGCAATTTCGTGCTTGCCAATTATTAGCATAACATTTTAAATTATTGGGGCTTAAAAATTTAAAAATGTATTAAACTAATGCATAGATGATAGATCTATCATCTAACAAATTTTAGGTGAAAAACAAAGAAATGAATTATTAGAGAAAGGGGTCCTGTTATATTTGGAGCGAAAACACAAAAATTTATATTTTACGTTAAAAAATATATTTCAAAAAAAGTAAAGTAGAAAAAACAAAAAAATAAATAAAATGGATAGTAACACCTACGTATGGAAGAAATTAATAAAGATTTGAATTTTGTTAAGTTGAAAGATTATAAAACACTTTTTTAATTGAAAGTTTCTAAAGAATCCTTAACACTATCCGTGACGACCTATTTTTATTTTCTCAGTATCTAATATTTAATATTTTTACATGCTGCTAGTGAGAGAACCTGTTGTTAAAATATTTGAATCCCACCACTGGGTAAGTGTATTTGGAGTTCCGTGTTTTCTTTGTTGTTTTGGCGTATTGTGTAGGGACAGTGGTTGCTAAAGTTGTTACCTATTTAGGTTGATGGTCCTAACCTTTCACTTGAGGATGGTGTTTAGTTTTGCCAATATAGAAAGCCTTATAATCTTCACGGGTATATAAATATAGTTTTATTTCTAAATATACCTACATAATTTAAGTTTTTGTACAATAATATTTAAACATTTCTATATATGCGAATATCATGTTGTGAACTATAGAACAATTCCACTTATCTTCTACCGAACGTTTCATAAGAACAGTTAAGACCGATATAATAACACAAAATATACTGAACGCCACCTACACGTTTATTGAACATCAGTGTGAAAACATTGTAATTTTTTATTGTTTTATGCTTTCCCTTTGTTCGACCTTCTAGTGGCACAGCGATATGTTTTCGGACTTACAACGCTAGAAACCGGATTTCGATACCCGTGGTGGACAGAGCACCGATAGCCCATTGTGTAGCTTTGTGCTTAATTACAAAACAAACAATCCTTTGTTCGTATTTCTTAGTTTAAGGTTTATGGTTTTTTAAGCTTTTCCCTGTTCTCATTTCTTAGTTTAAGGTTTTTGGTGTTTTAAGCTTTTCCCCCGTTCTTATTTCTTAGTTTAAGGTTTTTTGGCGATTTAAGCTTTTCCCTGTTCTTATTTTAAGGGTTTATGGTGTTTTAAGCTTTTCCCCTGTTCTTATTTCTTAGTTTAAGGTTTTTGGTGTTTTAAGCTTTTCCCCCGTTCTTATTTCTTAGTTTAAGGTTTTTGGTGTTTTAAGCTTTTCCCCCGGTCTTATTTCTTAGTTTAAGGTTTTTGGTGTTTTAAGCTTTTCCCCCGGTCTTAT